ACCAGTAAGTCAGAAGTGATCTCCTGCATCTTCTCTCTGAAAGAGGAGGTTGGAGCTTTAGCCAGGGCCCTGCGGCTCTTTGAGGTAAACTTTAATTCTTCAGTGACAACACAAAAATATTGTCACCCCTTTACCATTAACAAGGAGCCCCTTTGCTTCCTATGATCTTCACATGATGAAGAGCAGATTTTCACACTCTGTGGCTACCATGAGCAGTGCTAAAACAGCTCATTATCAATCAACAGCCATCCTCAGGGCTCACACACAGTGAAATATGTGAGCTCTGGTTTCACCCATCATTAAAAAATCAATTCTTTTGCAGAATAGTTGCAACCAAACACATCACAGGGGAACCTTACTGCTAACTGTGCTTGTTCAGGATGCATAGAGCAAAATTTACAAGCAGTTCCTCCTGCAGTTAACAGCCAACCAGAGGACTGAGCAATGTTAACTTAGAGCTGGGGAGGTTTGGTCTGGTTTGGGTAAACCTAGCCTCTGTCCATGGTGTGTTTTTTCCTAAAGTGGCCAATAATCTTTGTTATTCCAAAATACAATGTTGTTTTAAAATGCATCCTCATTCTCCAATAATAAGAGAGCTTATAGCTTCTTACAAGAGTAAGGGAATACATCAACATCAACATAAGTGATTGATACCACGCTCATATACGTATGTCCATTAAATATAAGGCTAGTAGCCAGGTAGTTTAGATTAGTATAAAGGCTGGGGAAATGCTAGGCTAGCTATCCATTCTTGATGCTATACTAAGCTAAGCTAACCAGCAGCTGGCATCGGCATCATGCTGAATGCATCTTCTCATTGTGTTTATTTAAATTCTTTAGACACTACCATCATTTAAGCAGAGGAATGCAGGTTGTATACATGATTCTCTGGTTGTTTTCCTGCTCATGGACTTTTTGACCCTTTAAAGAAGAAAGCTAAACAAACTCAGCTTATCTCATATGTTTGTGTATCAGTCATGTGCAAACATGGCAGGTGGCTCTTTAATCCACTGACTCGCCTCCTGCAGGTGTCCTATGAGGACGAAATAGACATTGGACTGCTGGAAAGTTATTGCAGAGGTAGATAGTAACTAGAGCTACAATGATTAGTCAGTTACTTGGCCAATTAGTGACAGAAAATGAATCAACAACTACATTCGTTTGATAATCACTTCATCATAATCCTCACTTGATTTGTCAAGCTACAGGTTCTAGTTTTGGTTTCTCAGTTATGAGATTGGCAGTACAATGAATAGCTTTGGATTTTGGACTCACCTTGGAATATTTTTATTGTCATTTTTCTCAATTTCCTGATGTTTTATAGATAAAATAATTATTAAATATTAATTTATATATTGAGAAAATAATTGGCCAACTAATCCATAAAGAAAATAATTTTCAGTTGCACAATAATCAACCTCAGCAATTTAGTAAAAAGTTATTTTTTATAAAGCTGAGGAACAGAAAAGAGATGGACTAAAAAATATTCTGACTTTTAGTTCCTAGTATAAGCATGGATCCTACATTTCCCATGATGCAATGCAATATAATATTTCATTAGACCCTCCCTGCCTCTTAAATACCCACATCTTTCAAACCTTACCCCTCTAGTTTGTAACATAGGCTTGGACCAAGTTTAGTCCAAGTCAATTACATCACTTTGACACTGTCAGGGTTATTAGATTTTACAACATTTTTCACAGGCTCAAGCAAAACGCTGTATAAAATTAGCATAGTTCCTCTTTAAAATACTGCTTACATGGTAATACATTAATAATATTTATCCAAAATAACAAACCCTAACCCTAAAACACACTAAAAAGGACCTTTTTGCATAGTACAGTACTTCATTCTTGATATTCGAGTGGCATTTTTCTCATAACTGTGATAACTGTGTGTTTTCCTAGCTGTTATTTTGATTCCATGACATGTGTCACTTGTCATTTGAGTTAAGGATCTGAATGCTTGCAAACACAAGAAGGTCAATGTATCACTGTCTGTCATGTTTTTATTCTCTTTTATCGATTTAAACTGTGTGTACGTGACTGTATGACAGCTTGAAGTAAACACTGACTGGCAGTAGCAGCACAGTTTACACTCCTATCAAGGTTCGAGTGAGTTTGCTCTTCCTCCAGGCAAAATACAAAGTACGACTCCAGAATGTTTTGCAGTCCAAACATGCAATTCATCCCAAGGTACCAGGTGTTTTAGATTAAAGAGAAACTTTTTTTGCTGGACCCACATGTTTTCTGGGGGCGGAGATGTGGGTAAGTTGACTGTGATCAATACCAAGTATGTGCAAAATGCTGCTCTGCAAATGTGGCAGTAAACATCATGATCCTCTTTGAACCTATGAGGGCTCACTTTTCCAATCCTCCCCCTGCTCCACCCCCTCTTACGACTCCTCTCAGGTCAGGTCCAGATTTAAAAAATAAATAAATAAATAAAAATACAGGCAACTTGGCCGCCCAACTATCAGCACACTGCTTTTATTATAATGAACAATATAATGATTGCCCTAAAAACACAGCTTTGAAGAGAACATACTGCACTTCTTCCACATTTTTCCTGTTCTCTGTGGAGCTACAGTATGTGTACGTTTAGCTGAGCAGCTGTGGTATTTATCACATGCTCATTTTCATCTTGTGAATGTCTGATCTATATATTTAGTTCAGAATGTTGCACAGTGAAACCGAAATTTTAAGTGCAAAGCTTTTTGTTTTCACTTTTAATATATTTAGAAAACAAAAGTAAAATTGCTGATAGTAAACATATCTTATTACATCACAAAAACACTAGTCATTGTTTATTTTAAACCTGGACTCTGGTCATGTCTATATCACTCCCAGGGGGTGGAGGACAAGATAGCCCTCAAAAAGCTATTACATGTCAAATAGGATCTAGATTGGAGAAAACTGGAGGCCCTGCTGCTCACCACCTCCCAACTATTAGCCTATAGTAGACAGACAACAGTATACTCCCCCTCTTTCCACCAAATTTACATAAACAAAAACACAGTTTTGATGGCAACTATCTGGTAAAGACAGCCCCGCTTTCCACCACCAGCCAGAAATGTTTTGCATGGTTGACATAAAGAACTGCTCAAGGGCCTTGTGTTCATGCTGCAGAATGAGAAAACCCTAATTGCAGACAGGGCGATTTGTTTGACAATTTCACACTAAAATACTACCTTATGTCCTCAGTGCCTTTACTATGCAAGTCTAGACTGGCTTGGCTCACAGTCTGCAGACCATCTTAAGATCAGGGTGGACTCCATTAAGTTTGACAGATTCGGTGAGCACACACTGCTCTCTAGTGGTGGAGCAAGGGTAGTGCTGCAGCCTGGTGCAGCAAAAACATTAATTCATGCTTATTCATGAATAGGGTCATTGGCGAATGGAGCCTATCCCAGCTGACATTGGGTGAGAGGCGGGGTCCACCCTGCACAGGTTGCCAGTCTATCACAGGGCTGACACACTCACTCCTAGAGTAAAGAGTCACCAATCAACCTAAGCTGCATGTCTCTGGACTGTGGGAGGAAGTCGGAGTACCCGGAGAGAATCCACCCAGGCACAGGGAGAACATGTAGACTACACACAGAAAGGCCCAGGCTCAAACCCAGAATTTTTTGCTGTGAGGTGACAGGACAAACAACTGTTTCCGCTGTGCTGCCACACAGCAAAAACATTCACAGTTAATTACAACATGCATGCTTTGTCTTTTACTTTATTTTTATGATGAACTTTGTCTTCAACAAATTGAAAATTACCTAAAATACATATGGAGGTAAACAACTAAATGTCTAGGTTTTGTAAAACACCAATGAAAATCAGTTCAGGACTCACAAAATTCTCCCCTGCTTTTGTTTCTGTAGGAGAAGGGCATCACCCTGACGCACATTGAATCCCGTCCATCGCAGGCGAACAAAGACCACTATGAGTTCTTCATCAGTGTGGATTCCACCTCCTCCCAGGCCCTGGATGAGGTCATCAACAGCCTGCGTACACAAATCAGCGGCCACGTGCATGAGCTCTCACGCAACAAACAGAAGGACACAGGTTTGTGTGTGTAATTGTAAGACAGTGAAAACTGAACTAGATAAGTCCTTAAAATAGCAAAAACATTGAATGTGTATAATTATTAATGCACCACAGGCAGTGCGAGTTTAAAATGGTTATCACTGATTATGTAGTTCAGTGTTTATCATAATGTTTAGAAAAAAATTAATGCTAAATATCAGTATACATGGAAATAAAAAAAAACAGTCCTGTTATGGAGTCATATCTTAAAATAATTTGACCAAACCTCAGGGTTTAGGTCATTTTGATCCACTTAGTGTCACAGATTTATGTCTTAACTAGTAACTCGGTGAGGTTGAACTGAGACAAAAGCTAAAAGTTGCATGCTACTGTATCATTCTAAAGAACATGCTGATGCTTACCATCTTAGTCTACTCTGTATGAGGTTGGCAATGTCATTAGTGTAGCAGGTTTTTGGTCATAAATGAAAATCCTGGGCAAATTAAAATGATAACCTGATGATGGTGCTAAATGGAAAGCGTTTAAGCAGGAGCAAAATCAAATCAGAATGGGTTTGTAGATAGATTATCTTTTTTAGGTTTATAGGGCCAATAATATATTAAATCAATATCAAACCTAGACAAAAATGTTAACTAAAAACTCAAATAAAAATGTTGTTGTTGAGGCACTTCTTTAAAAACTAAAAAATCTCATGGTGGCACTAGAAGAAAATCAGCATCCTTCATCTCTTGGGCACCATGAATGTCTGTACCAAATTTAATGGCAATCAGTCCAAAAGTTAAGATATTTCAATCCCTGGAGCCAAACAACTAGCCAGACTTGGTAATGGACAGCCAGCGCCACCGATGAGAATGATGGCCCATCACTGACACTGAGACCCCTTTATTAGTTGTTTCCAGAATGACATTAGTTTAGCTACTGAGGACCAACATGAACAGGCATGAACAGAGGAGGTCTGTGTCCCAGGCCCAGACTAACACAGGGCAGGAGAACACGCCAAAGTCACGGCAGGCTAAGACAGACGGGGCCACCATGGATCCTCCTCTGACCCCACTGTAGACTCTGTGGTCTACTCGTCAGGGCCAAGTGAATGACCAGATATTTATGACCTATTTTGGAGACATTTTCCAATTTATGCAGTTTATAGACGAACCTGGCAGACACCTGTTGTCTTCCTGTGGCCTCAGGATGGACCACACTACACAAATGTAGATTAATGATTGGGCCCTAGTGTTTTTGAGGGAGTAAAAATCAATATGAACAAGCAGATGCCCCTTGGATATCTGTTCTGCTGAGTGTCAAAATGCCACAGCTCTGAAAAAATCATATAGACAAAGCATCATCTACATCAGTATCAATTTGTACTGTGCTCAGTCGCATCAGTTAATAATTGAGGCTCCAATGAAAAATTAGATTTTATTGCTGATGAATCAGTTTTTCTGTAAAAATGTCAGAAATGTTGTAAAATACCTTTTACAGTTTATCTGAGTCCCAGATAAAACATAGCTGAAACAATTAGCAACAGAAAAATAATCTGCAGTTACAGTATTTAATGATCAAATAATCATTTTTAAAGATCCGTTTATGCTTCAACAAACTGAATGTTTGCTGCCTTTCTTTGTCTTATATCACTGAAAACCACACACACACACACACGTGGGTTTTGAAGGCATCTGAAGACGTCACCTTGGACCTCAGCTTGAAGCTGGATACCGTTTCCCAGTTTTTGAGACTCCAGAAATTAAACAATCAATCAAATAATTGTTAGATTAACCTATAGCTAGTTAGTTAGTTGAAGCCCCTAAATTTCCTCTTCATTTGTCTTTGTTTAGTCCCACTAATAGACAAAACCATGAAATAATTCTGTTTATAATAAAATAAAACAGAGAATAGCAACTAATAACCATCAGGACTTGATCATATTTGGTGTTTTTGCTCGACAAAGTACCTAAATAATTAGGAAATTATCCAAATAATTTTAAAGTTGTGTGGATTTATTGACTCCGAGATAAATTAACAAGCACAAACCTCTGCCTGGAACTAAATATGTTTGTCCCACTAACATAAAGACTTCCTAGATTTCTAAATATTTCTCTCCTCAGGGCAGCCTATGCATAATGAATGTTTAATTGATCTGACCTAAATTAATACATGTTGAATAAAAACAACAAATTACTGATGCCTAATAACCATTATTATCCTTCAGTGCCATGGTTCCCTAATGACATCCCAGACCTGGACCGCTTTGCCAACCAGATCCTCAGCTATGGCTCCGAGCTGGATGCAGACCACCCAGTAAGGGCTGACTCATCCATCACCGTCTTTTTGTCACATCCTGCCTCTGCATGTGTATTTGTGTGAATACACATCCACTCACGCCCACGTCTTATGAAAGCTGGCGCTGTGGAAATGACAGGCCGCACTCTGCAGTCTATTCTAATGGAAACTAGACACACAAATTGATGTCATTGCTTTAATTGAGCCCCTATAATTATAGATAATTGTTCCCTTTTGCCACCACCATTAAAGCAAAATGTATTCATCGTGAGCTGAAAAAGACTTTACAAAGGCTTCATTTGAATATGTATCTGCATGCTCTTATTAGAGACGGAGTGCATAATGCTGGCTACAGGGTTCAGCCTCAGCAGAGGATTTCCTCTCTTTGATTTGGCAGCACATGGCCAGGCTGCGATCATGAGATCTAACATGGCTTTGCTTTGTGTGTGTGTGTGTGTGTGTGTGTGTGTGTGTGTGTGTGTGTCCAGGGCTTCACAGATCCAGTGTACAGAGCCCGCAGGAAGGAGTTTGCTGACATTGCCTACAACTACAGACAGTAACTACTCTTAGAAGTCTTTATTCTTAATCTCCACTTCCTTTTTGTCTGTATTCCAAGTCTAGGTACAAGTTGCAGAAGAATTTTTAAACGTTTCACTGGTTATTCCAGTTGATTTCTTTCCATACTTTGCCTTGGAAATTACCATGAGCAAATAAGAAATTACAAAGGTCTTGATCTTTTTGTGTATAAGAAATATTATTCCCAGACACTACAAGGAGCACCAAGCCTTCACGTACATAACTGTACCTGTACGGTGATACTGACAAATACTGCTTAATCTGAGCAAATACAATACAGATGTTGGGTGTCAAGCCACATATCTGCTCTTTGCCTGGGTGAGGATAGGGCTCAGGGATGCTTTATGTTAAGGGTAGGATAGGTTTGGAAAATGGTGTTGCTTATTGTGGGGCTCTGAAGGTTTTTGACGACATGACCTGA